CCATCTCACACCTGTCAGAATGGCTTTCATCAACAAATCAACAAACGGCAAGTGTTGGCGAGGATGCGGAGAAAAAGAAACCCTCCTGCACTGATGGTGGGAATGCAGACTGATGCAGCCACTGTGGAGAACAGTATGGAGTTTCCTTAAAAAACTGAAAATGGAACTCCCATTTGACCCATTAATCCCACTCCTAGGAATATATTTGAAGAAATTGGAAACACCAATCAGAAAGGATATATGCACCCCTATGTTTATAGCAGCACAATTTATAATAGCTAAGATTTGGAAACAGCCTTGGTGCTGGTCAGCAGATGACTGGATTAGAAAACTATGGTACATCTACACAATGGACTACTATGCTGCCATAAAAAAGAAGGAATCCTTACCATTTGCAACAACCTGGATGGAACTGGAGAACATCATGCCAGTTCATGCCATGAATGAAATAAGCCAGTCAATGAAAAAAAAATATCACATGATCTCATTCATTTATGGATAATAATGAACATTATAAAGTGATGAGTAAAAAGATAGGTACAGAGACAGTAAAGCATCAAACAGACTGTCAAATTACTGCAGGAAGGTTAAGGAGAGTTGGGGAGATAAGAGATAAACCAAAGGACTTTATGCATGCATATAAGCATAACCAATAGATGCAAAACTCTGGGGGGTGAGGGCATGAATGGGAGTGGGGTGGGAGGACAATGGTAAGATATGGATATGTCTAATACCTTAATTAGAAAATAGAAGAAAAAACAAAAGGAAGAAAAACAATTTAAAAATGGGCAGAGAAATGGCATGCAGTACTCAAGGTAATGAAAAGCAAGAATCTGAGACCAAGATTACTAGATCCAGCAAGGCTATCATTCTAAATAGATGGTGAAATAAAGAGCTTCCCAGAAAAAAAAAATCTAAAGGAGTTCATCACCACCAAGCCAGCATTACAAGAAATGCTAAAGTGACTGCTTTAAGGTATTGCTGAGAAGAAGAAAGAGAGAGAGAGCCCTACCATACAGAATTAAAATGGCTACAAATAAGTACCTCTCAATAATAATCCTAAATGTAAATGGATTAAATGCTCCAATCAAAAGGTGTAGGGTAGCTGATTGGATACAAAAACATGACCCAATTATATGCTGTCTACAAGAGACCCATCTCAAAACAAAAGACACACACAAGATGAAAGTGAATGGTTGGACAACAATTTTCCATGCAAATACAAAAGAAAAAAAGGCTGGAGTAGCAATACTCATATCTGACAAAATTGACTTTAAAAGCAGTATGCTAAGCAAAATAACCCAGTTGGAGAAAGATAAATATCATATCATCTCACTCATTTGTGGGATATAATGAACAACATAAACTGATGAACAAAAATAAATCAGAGGAGAACAAAAATATACTATAATATAATAGTATAACAGTATAATATAATATACAATTCCTAAGATGCAGTAATTCTGTTATTTGCAGATTTTTAACATTTCCTACAACTTCTGTGATATTATACTATGTAAGTACAGTTTTGGTAATATTACATTTAAAATCCTTTTATTCTTGAAGTATTAATGATTATTGCATATAATATAATTATATGGAAGATTTTTAAAAATGTGCAGAGGACCTGAATAGACATGCCTTCAAAAAGGATATAGAAATGACCAAGAGACACATTAAAAAATGTTCAAATCACTAATCATTAGAGAAATACAAATTAGAACTACAATGAGATATCACCTCACATTTGTCAGAATGGCTATTATCAAAAATCAACAAACAAGTGCTGGCGAGGATATGGAGAAAAGGGAACCTTAGTTCACTGCTAGTGGGAATGCAGATTGGTACAGCCACAGTGTAAAACAATATGGAGTTTTCTCAAAAACTTAAAAATGGAACTTTCTTTTGACCCAGAGATCCCACTTCTGGGAATATATCCTAAAACCCCCAAAACACCATTCAGAAAGAATATATGCACTCCTATGTTCATAGCAGCGTTATTTACAATAGCTAAGATTTGGAAACAGCCCATGAGTCCATCAGTAAATGAGTGGATAAAAAAAAAAGCCATGGCACATTTACACTATGGAATACTATGCAGCTGTAAAAAAAAAAAAAAAAAAAAAAAAAAAACTCTGGGGCAGCATGACTAGACCTGGTAAATATTATGCTAAGTGAAATAAGACAAACTGAGAAAGACAAATATCACATGATCTCACTTATTTGTGAAATCTATTGAACAAAATTAAATGACCAACAAAATAAGACCCAAAGCAGGGAGGCATGGAACAGGCTGACATACCTTAATGTGGGCTTTGGGAGACAGTAAGAGATAAACCAAATACTTACTAGAGACCCAATGCCAAAGTTCATGCATGGGGGAATCCCTTACAATCCAGGACCCCTCGGAGGTGTAGGACTGCTGGGCCTAAACCAGAAGTCAGACTTCACTCTCGCAATCCAGGACCCCTCACTCCTACCGGCCCGCCTGCTTGCTCCTTACCACTTGGCTCATCGCTCCTTAGCACTGCTGCCACCACCACCACTGTGCTCACCAGCCATGAGCCCTGCTTCTGGCTGAGTGGCACTTCCACTGTAGGAACACACTGTCCACCAGGGGCAGCTCGTACTTTGAGCATCTGCCCCCTTGTGGTCAGTGAGCATCATAGTGACTGGTCATTCTGGTCATTCCGGGTGTTCCACCATAACGGTCACTGGGCTTTTATTTATATAGATATGCCTAGCCCATGGACACAAGCAGTAGGGTAGTGTAGACCTAGGAGAGTGGGTCAGGACTGGGGAGGAGGGGAGTTAGGCAAAAATAGGAGATATCTGTAATATCAACAGTGAAAGATACATTTTTAATTTTTTATTTAAAAAAAGAAAAGTTTAAGTGAAACCCTTGTTGTCCTGAATTTGAATTAGAAATACCAATATGAACTCATAAATTAGTCTTACTTTCTTAGGTTTATCTACTGAAAGAGCCTAGAAACCATGACCAGCTCAAAATACCACTTTCCACTAAAGGAACCAGGAATTCTTAGATAAGTGGCCAATTCAAGATCTGGGACTACATAATTATAAAATAGATTGGAATATATTTTAATATTTTAAATATTTTTAATATACTTAAGGAAGCTCTCAAAGACAACTGAATTTATGTCCAGAGGACTCAAGAACCAAATTTTAGAGGCTCCTGCTAGCCATTGATGGGACATCAGTGAGCATCAGGAAAAAAAATAACTACCATAGATTGAATGAAACACATCACATATACTAAATTCACTCATTTATAAATTATAATAATAATAAATAGGTCACCATTAAAGAATGTTAGAGAAACCAACTCATTGTTCTGAAAACTGATAGATAAAAGAATCAAGCATTTATTAACAAAGAAGCTGTCTCACTGGGTAATGGAAGAATAATGGCTAGGGGATGGTTGAGGAAGGGAAGGAGTCTTTAGCAAAAACTCCAGCTAATTTAAGAAGAGATAATAGAATAGAATCAGCATTTTTCAACCCTGAATGAATTAGAAGATCTGGGCTTGGCTCATCAATGGCTGCTGACATCCCTAAAAGACAGGCGATATACAATTCCTAAGAATTAGTCTCACCAAAAAATCAAATCTACACCTGTTAAGGCCTCTTCTAGATCGAACTTCCATTTTACAGAAAATACAGAAGCCAGAGGAGCATGTTAAACTATCCTGTGGAGATGCAGTCAGCAAAATCCTGACCATGGAGAACTCTGCCAGACAAATAACTCAGTGCAAGGAAAGAAAGCTCAGAAGAGCGGAATCTATTGACTAAAAGGCATATCAGTCAACTGTAATGTGCAAATCTGATGAGGATCCTGATTTTTTAAAAACAATATTAAAATGTTATGAAATTTACAAGATAAGTGAAAATAGGAACACTGACTATTTATAGGGGTGGGCAAAAATCAGTTTACAGTTGTGAGTATGCAAAAGTTTATTCTTGTATTATTATTTATTAACTAGAGGTCCTATGCATGAAATTCATTCAAGGGGCTTGGCCCCCACCATCACTGTGGCTGCCTCTGCCTCGGCCCCCACTGCTTCAGCCTCATCGGAAGGTCATCTAGAAGGATGTCCAGAAGGACATCCAGTCTAATAAGCATATTATGCTTTAATTATTATAGATTATTGTATTGTTTTCCATACAAAAAAACCCTGTAAACCTACATTTTCCCCATCCCTGTATTTAAAAACAATAAGAAATTTCCCTGGCTTATGTTACTCAGTGGTTAAACCTGAACCAAAGGGTGGCAGGTTTGATTCACAGCCCTTGTCGGAGAGCATATGGGAGGCAGCCAATGTATGTGTCTCTCACATCAATGTTTCTCTCTCTCTCTCTCTCTCTCTCTTTCTAGTATAAAAATCAATGGAAAAAAATATCCTCACATGAGGATTAACAAAAAAAAAATTAAAACAATAGGAACTATGTATTATTACTTTCTAGGTGTGATAATGGTATTGTAATTTTTGGTGGTTGTTGTTAATCCTCACCTGAGGATATTTTTTTCCATTGATTTTTTTTTTTTTTTTTTGTCTTTTAGAGAGAGTGAAAGGGATCAACTCTGCAACCTACGTATTTTCTCTTGGCCATAATCGAACTCATCACACTTTGGTTCATAGGCAACACTCTAACCACTGAGAAACACTGGCCAGGGTGGTATTGTGGTAATTTTTATGGAGTCCTTATGTTTTAGAGTTACAAACTTAAATATTAAAGAAGGCATGATATGATGTCTACATTTGCTTCAAAATAATCTAAGGAGTGGACGTGGGTGGGTGTAGCTGGGACATGACTTAAATGATTTGATGGGTGTTGAAACTGATTGACAGATGCATAAGGGTTCGTTTGAATACTGTCTCCATTTGGAGATGTTTGAAATTATTCATTGGTTGTCCTCTAAAGTGTGCTGAGCTAGTAGACTGCCAAAAAATCTAAACTTCTCCTTTTGTGCCCATGCAGTGCTCCAAGAGCTGCCAGGGGGGCTTCCGGGTCCGTGAAGTACGCTGTCTGTCAGATGACATGGCCCTAAGTAATCTCTGTGACCCTCAGTTGAAACCAGAAGAGAAAGAATCCTGCAACCCTCAAGACTGTGTCCCTGAAGTTGGTAAGTAGGGATCCCTATCCTGGAGTAAAGATTCATCTTTGTTAAGCTCTGTCAAGTTCTCTGGTGTGAAATGCATCCAGCTGGAATTCAGGGTCAAAGTACTTTTGGTTTATAAGCATGGATGGTAATCTAAGCCACCCACCAAAACTTAAATGGGAATTGATTATAAGGGTAATGCATTCAGAGACTTGGTTCCATCATCCTTAAGGTCAAAGTAATGAGATTTCAATGGCATATTTAAGGGGGAAAAAAAAAAAAAAAAAAAAAAAAAAAGGCCTATCTGGTTTGGCTCAGTGGACAGAGCATCAACCTGTGGCCTGAAGGGTCCCAGGCTCAATTCCAAATACCTCAATTGCAGGCTCCTTTCCAACCTGGGCCTGGTTGGGGCACATGCAGGAGGCAACCAATCAATGTGTTTCTCTCACATGGATATTTCTCTCTCTGTCTTTCCCTTTCTCTTACACTCCCTCTAAAAATCAATGGAAAAAATATTCTCAGTTGAGGATTTTTAAATAATAATCCTACCTAATAAAAGAGTAATATGTAAATTAACCATCCTCTACTACAACCACAAACCACACCCAACAGCCAATCAGAGTGAGTATGCAAATTAACTCCAACCAAGATGGCTGCCACCACAAATAGTAGGAGGGAGGCTTGGGTTTCCCCAGCAATGGAGGAAGCCAAGCTTTCCACACACCCTGGCTGGCTCAGGCCTCAACTCAAGGATACAAAGTTTCAATTATAGAAGATAAAACCCAAGAAAAACAGCAGCAGCCACGGAGCTGGAGAGAGAAGGCTAAGGTTTTACCCAGGGATGGAGGAAGCCAAGCTTTCCATCTGCCCTGTCTGGCCCAGGCCTCCACTCAAGGTTACCACGTTTCAATTATAGAAGGTGAATAAATCCTAATAGAAATGGTTGCAGCTATGGAGGGAGCAGAAGGCTTGGCTTTGCTCCAGGCTACAAAGTTTCAATTGTAGAAGATAAATAAATCCCAGATACCAGGGCCTCATCTTGGGTCACCAGAGGGCGTAGCTGGCTTGCAAACCAACACAAGCCCCTCACCCAGGCTGCCCCATGCCCCAAGGGAATCCCCACCCTGATCTGTGACACCCTTCAGGGCAATCCAGCTGGCCCCCACCCATGCACCAGGCCTCTATCCTATGTAATAAAAGAGTAATATGCAGATTGAACATCACTCTGACACCCAAGATCAAGATAGCTGCCCCCATGTGCAAACATGATGGCTGTGACAAGATGGCCAGCAGGAGAGAGCAGTTGGGAGGGACCAGGCCTGTAAGGAAGGGCAGTTGGTGGCAATCAAGCCTGCAGGGGAGGGCAGTTAGGGGTGACCAGGCCAGCAGAAGAGGGGAATTTGGGGCAAAAAGGCTGTCAGGGGAGCAGTTAGACATCAATTAGGCTGGCAGGGGAGTGGTTAGGGGGTAATCAGGCTGGCAGGCAGAAGTGGTTAAGGGCAATCAGGAAGGCAGACAGGTGAGCAATTGGGAGCCAATAGTCCTGGATTGTAAGAGGGATCCCAGATTGGCTGTACTGAGGGACACACAACCCTCATGCATGAATTTCATGTACCGGGCCTTTAGTCTACATATATAAAAAGCTAATATGCAAAGTGTCCCCTCTGGAGTTTGACTGGGAGTTTGATCACTCACTATGGTGTGCACTGACCACCAGGGGGTGGCATTGGTTGGGTGCTGCGGAAGTGAGGGAAAGAGGAGGTTGGGAGGCCCCCGACCAGCCCTGATCACAGGCTAGGCCTAGGGACCCTATCTGTGCACAAATTTCCTGCATTGGGCCTCTAGTCCTATCTAATAAAAGAGTAATATGCATATTAACCATCACTCTACTACACCACAAGCCATGCCCACCAGACAATCAGGAGCGAGTATGCCAATTAACCCTACCAAGATGGCTGCGGCCATGGAGCCATCAGGAGGCTTGGGTTTCCTCAGCAATGGAGGAAGCCAAGCTTTCCCCACACCCTGGCTAGCCTAGGCCTCCACTCAAGGCTACAAAGTTTCAATTATAGAAGACAAATAAATCCCAGATACCAAGGCCTCTGCTTGGGTCACTGGGGGTGTGGCCAGCCTATGAACCACCACAGGACCCTCGCTCAGGCCACCCCAATCCCCAAAGGACCCCTCCTCCCTAATCCAGGACACCCTTCAGGACAAACCAACCTGCCCCAACTCGAGTACCAGACCTTTATCCTATCTAATAAAAGAGTAATATGCAAATTGACCATTATTCCAACACACAAGATGGCTGCCCCCATGTGGACACAAGATGGCTGTCACAAGATGGTCAGCAGGGGAGGGCACTTGGGAGGGACCAGGCCTGCAAGGGAGGACAGTTGGGGGTGATCAAGCCTGCAGGGGAGGGCAGTTAGGGGTGACCAGGCCTGTAGGGGAGAGCAGTTGGGGGGGGGGGGACTAGGCCTGCAAGGGAGGGCAGTTAGGGTGACCAGGCCTGCTGAGGAGGGCAATAGGGACAAACAGGCTGGCAGGGGAGCAATTAGGCATCTATTAGGCTGGCAGGTGAGTGGTTAGGAGGTAATCAGGCTGGCAGACAGAAGTGGTTAGGGGCAATCAGGTGAGCAGTTGGAAGCCAGCAATCCTGGATTGTGAGAGGAATGTCCAACAGCACGGGATCAGGCCTAAATGGGCAGTTGAATATTCCTCAAAGGGTCCCAGATTGGAAAGTGTTCAGGCTGGGCGGAGGGACAGCCCCCACCAGTGCATGAATTTCAAGCACCAGGCCTCTAGTGATAATAATAAAGGAAAAGAAAAATGCAAACTCTTAGTTCACACCCACACTCCATCAGCAATAGGCAGCAGGACCAGGATGGAGAGCCCTCACCTCGCTTTGTCTCCCCAGTAGTCCAGGCTGCCCCTCGTGCTCAGAACATTTTGTTCTCTTCTGCTACAGATGAAAGCTGCAAGGACAGATACTACAACTGCAATGTGGTGGTGCAAGCCCGCCTCTGCGTCTACAACTACTACAAGACTGCCTGCTGTGCCTCCTGCACTCGTGTGGCCAACAGGCACCCAGGCTTCCTGAGGAGCAGATAACACCCCTGCTCCTACTCAAGGGGCAGAGCAGTGAGTCTGTAAGAGGCTGACCATCAGGCTGCTGATCCACCAGGGCTTCCTGGCCCAGGGTGCTGCCAGCCAATTTGGTCTCCAGCCTCACCTTCACTAAAGTGTACACGCAGTGCCAGGCACAGAGTCATGGCTCTGAGCATCACCATCAACTGGATTTCTCTCCTTGGGAAAGCTGACAACCTCTAAGAGTGATCTCTGAAAACCAGTCAGGGGGGCGTGCAGGCAGCTCTCAGCCAACCTCTCCTGGGATTTTCTAAGGCAGCCCTGACTGGGCACTATCTCCCCCAGGGTGCTATTGGCCTTTCCAATATCAGCACCTCTTGGAGAGTCAAAGGAGGCAGCACCCCTACCCCCGGACCCCACGGAGGCTTGCTGAGATGCTGGCATCCCTGTTACCTCAGCCCTGTTGTGCCTGTCCTCATTCTCAAAGACATTAGGTTGTTTGCCTGCATCATGACACAAACATCTCATGTCATGCAGTGCTTTATTGTTTCACAGGTATATTCACAGATATTAATTCATTAGCAGCTTATAACACCCAAGAAGGGTGTTGTCCCTATTGTACCAGCAAGAAAACTGAGACTCATTGATCTCCCAGCCGTATTCACCTGTTCACTGGAAGAGCTGAGTCCCAACCCAATCTGTCCACAAAACCCTCACCCCAAGGACTGTATAGAAGTCTTAAGTCTGCAGGATGCACTTCATTTCAGAACAAGAGTAAGAATTTCCTAATTAGCAAACGAAACCCAGGACTTTGAATTCTTCCCTTTAGCCAAAGGTCAAAACTTTATCCCAGCATCAGTTGTTTTAGAAGTCTGTTTCTATCAATCCCTTCCCCCACAGTCACAGGCCCTCATCACAGGATTCTATAGCTTTTGGTAAGCCTGTTCTTAAAGGAACTCTCCCTTGAGACCATAAAGGCACTGGGTATCAGTCATTGCCTGAAATTCTGACTTCATTCCCCAGTGAGATGTTTCCCCTGGAACCAGAAGTCAGGGTCCCTTTGGCCACAACAGTCCCTTTCTGGCCCCAGAGCAGATTTCCAGAGCTGTGTGCTCAGCCCTTCCTCAGCCACCTGCCTGGTAGAAAGTGTAACTAATTCACACCGGCAAAAACCTCCTTTCTGTTAGAAAGAATTTCCTTTTGGTCTTTTTGTTTTGATTTATGAATTTCTTTCTATTACTTCAAATCTCTTTTTTCTCACCCAGGACTGACAATCCATGTCCCCGCTCTACTCCCAGACATGAGCACTAAGACCTACATTAATGGAGCTAGTCTGGGAGGAGGGGCTGTGAGCTCTAGTGACAGTTGCACCAGAGGGCTCTTCCCTGACTCACCTCTCCTAACTCTGTAGTTCCAGAGCCTGTGGGGGTTAGTGGCTATTGAGAGATGAACTCTTTGGAAAATCCATTAAAAGAAGAAAATATATGTATATTTTTTTTTTCTTTTACCCATTAAGAAAAGTACCAAGCTAAACAAGTTGTAAGCTCTTAGTACTGTGGTCCTGGGCCCATTTCCCTTTTATAGCCTTAGCAATTGTGTTTCCCCCTGAGCCCTTTAACCAGAAGTCTGCTGATTAGATGATCGGTTGCCATTTTTGGAAGCAATATCACCAGTTAGATCTGACTCAGTTAGGTTCCCACTGTCCTTGAGTTTTCAGGAATTCTCTTTGGCTTTCCTGTGGCTGTCCTCTTCCCGGGGAGCCCCAGCACCACTTGCCAGAAGCACCCCATCTCTCCTGGTTCTTATGAGACTCCTGCAGAGAAGCAGGCAGGACGAGGCCTGGCTCCTCCTGCCACCAAGTGTATCAGTGATTTAATCCAGTTCCCCTCTCCCCACCCCTCCTTTCATTAGAAGCTTTTTGCTTCTATTCACAAGGGGAGTTTGTCCTTGATACAGCTGCTCTCAGAGCTGCTGAACAAGGCAGCCATCTGTAGGAGTCCTTCGAAGAGGCTGTCTTTACATATTGGAAGGCAGGCTGGACCAGTGGATGGGAGAGCAGGAAGGCTGATTTCAGCTCAAATTAAGGGAAAACTTTGTAGCTATGCAAGCTGCCAACAGAGATGTGGCATCATTTATGAGTGTGCTCTCCATTCTAAGTAGGACTCTGTCGCGTGGGAGGTGAACATCCCAGTTCCTTCCACCCAGGATTTCATGATGTGCTGGTCAATGATGTCTTTATCTCTGACATCTGATAATGTCCGTGTCTTCCAATGTTCCCTAACATTTCTTTAAAGCACAGTGATTCTTCCATGATAATGGCCATTGTGGAATTGGGTAGGGTGCATCTCTTTACTTTGCGGGGAGCAGGCAGAAGTACCTAAACTCGGAGGCTTTATTCTCCTCCAACAAATAGCTGAGCTATTCTTGGAATTCATTTATCTCTGGAATTGTTATAAAATTACTAGAACAGGGGTTTTATTTGTTTATTTGTCTTAGAAATCCAATTTTTACTAATTTTCTACCTTCTCGTGTCAGCATCCAAATGCTTTTGTCCTTAGCACAGCACATCAGATAAAGTCACTTGATGTTTTCAGTGACCACGTGCCTATGTAGGGAATCTAAGGAAAGCTCACTTTTTGATGGCTCTCTCCCTCCAGATGTGTCTAACTCTCCCTTCCTGGACCCTATGATTCTGCCTACTTTCCATTACTTGCCACTCCCTTCTCAGTCCTCTCCATGTTCTATTAACTAGCCACAGTGCAAAACTGAAATTTATATTTGATAGTGCCTTTTTTTTCCCCTGTGTACTGAATTGCCTCCTCTCTGCCTTGAATTTTAAAATTAGGTGAATTTAAGCTGTTAATCTGTTTTCCTCACAATCAACAGAGCTCTAAACAGAAATAGTTTCTTTGCCCTCATGACAGGACCTCTCTGAGTTGTATCTAACTGTTCCTTTGCCTTATTTTTCTGGTCTAGGGTTCTTTTTTGTTTTCCTTTTTCATATCCTTGAATATGTATCATTTAAATATTCTCAGAGTGTTCAATATTCAGCACTCTTTTTCCTCTAAAACAAATGGCCTTATAGACAAATGAAAAATGGGAAGCAAGCTTAATTTATTTCCATGCAATTGTGTGGCAAAGAGAGAAATATTACTAATATTACTAGCATCATGCTAAGCCAATGTATTTTTTTTAATATGGCCATTTTAGAGTTTAAATGTCAGTTCTTTAATGTGGAAGAAGACACAAATAAAGTGGTATAAAGAAATAGGGCTCACCTAAAAGCAGGCTTCATACTCAAACCTGAAGGAACCTATGCCAGCATGGCAAGTGGGGACCAATATTTGATCCATGCTGTGTGAAACATTGTCAATGTGACTGAAGGGGGAAATAGTGCCTTGCTAGTGAAATTTGTAGATGGCATTGGCATTGGCATTGGCACTGGAGATGGCAGGTTCTGGACCCAAAATGATCTGGGAAACTATTGACCAGGGAACAACATATAGTCCTACCTTTGGTTTTTTTTTTAAAAATACTATACAAGTACAAGGTGTGGACGATATAAGAGTTTTGGTTGACTAAGCCCAGTGTGAGTCAGGAAAGTGGAATGTAACCACACAAAAAATTAAACAGAAAACATTTGGACTACATAAGGAGCATACGTTGGTGAGCACTATTATTATGGAGAATGTCAGCTGTATGTAACATTCAGCTGAGCATGCCCAGTCCTGATGAGCTATGCAGGCTGTTCAAACAGGAAAAAAGACTTTATGATAATGGTTAGCCTGGAGTCCTTGGGATAGCTATCCAGGAATAGGAGATAAAACTACAGGAACGCAAATTCCAACTCTTGCAGAAGAATGAGCTTTCTGAAAATTAGAGCATTAAGGAGGCAGAGCCCACCTGGCCAGTGATGGCTGTCCTGTCACTGGTGGTCTGAGCAGAGGCTGAAATGGCCCTTTGTTAGGGATTCTGTAGAGGGGATTCAATCACCCAGCTGGGGCAATAGACTTAAGATCCTTACCAAGTCTGGGTTTGGGTGACTCTATAAGTAGAACAGCTTTAAATGATTCTCCAGGTCTGCAATGGCCAGTGCAGGCACACCTACTTCCCATTCCTGTGTCTGCAATTTGAACCCTATGTTGCACCCCTCTGAGCTCAATGTAGCCACCAGAGAACCACTAGAAAACTAGTCAGAGCTGCCCTGACTCGTCCTGCTTTGTAGATGAGTAACCAAACGTCCCGATGGACAGTTCCATGCTCAGGGTCACATGCCTTAATGGTGGCAGAGCCTCTACTAGACTAGAACCCTTAATACCATCTCTCTTCCTCAATTTACCTTCCTTTTCTGCACCTTTGCTGGAGCAAAGTAACCCTCTCCACCCGGAACAGTCCCACCTGCAGGTTACAGTGGGAGCCATCCTCCATGCTGAGGAATGTGACCATGAGAGGTTGGGAACTTCCAACTATCTTCCTCACCCATCATCTTTCAGACATGAGCCCTTGGCCTCAGTGAGAGGAAAGCCATCCTGTTACATAAACTAACTGCACCAGCTTTGACCCCCAGGCTCCCACCATTCAGCTTGATGGAAGTATATACTTTGTTATAACTTATTATTTGTTCTTTGTAAATACAAGATGTTCATAGGAAATATGTATTCTAAACTCTATTGGCAGTATGAGTCACTACACCAAAATAGTTCTTTTATTTAGAATAAATTAATTTTAAAGGAACCTAATAGGTATTTATTTACATATGCCATCCACATTTGTGTAAAATCATTTGATCCTACTAACCCAGCTTCCTGGAAAGTTGCTACATAATATCTTACCCTAAAACCATAGTTATGATTTAGTATACTGATTAGTCAAACTCCTTGGATATAAATTACATGGCTTTTCGACTTGCTCGTGGCTTTTTCCCCCTGGCATTGTACCCATCTATATTGCTATCTTTTCATTTTAAATATTATATTTGGTCATATGATATGCCCTCTCTTCATGCCCAAACACTTGGAAAATGA